GAGAATTTATCGAAGAAGATCGTTCTCTATCATTGTCTTCGGTGAAGTTCAATCGTTTTGTTGCTTTTTTTCTTTCTTTCTTATTAACTATTTAGAAAAAAAGAAATAGTGAAACACCTTTGAAAATTTTCTAATCAGGCTGCTAAATAGGTTAAATTTGGTGTGCGAGGTAAAATAGTGTTAATATCATTCAAGGGAATAATGTGTAATGTAGGATAGTATTTGAGAAAAGCTACCTGAAAAAAAAGGTTAATAATGCAAAAGCTAATGAATGAAATTTTTTTTTCTGTTGTAAACAATAAAAATCTTTGAGATGAGTATCATTTTTAAAAAGATCATTTTGATAACATGTACAACATTTACATTTAATATGAATTTCTTTATGTGATGTTATATTAAATGCTTCTATTGAACAAAATTCATCACCAAATAAATGCATACCAAGAATATTATATAGACACGTTTATCAATAATAACATTAAGAAGCAGAACAACAATTTAATTTTAGCATTTTTTTCTTTTAGAAAAGCGTGAATAATTAATAAATGAAGTAAATTTTACTTAAAAAACAGTTGAAATAACCCATAGATTCAAGACGTTTGCTATGTTTTACTTCAATATATTTGCAATTAAAAAGATTCATACCCAATATACTGTAGAAGAGTTTTATTTGTATTCAAATATCTAAACACATTTTGTATTGTGTTTCGTTTTTTTTCTTCTAAACTTACCTGAATATGAATATAAATAGAAGTAATAAAGCGAAAAAATGTAGTCACATTATTCATTGTTTTAAGCATGACAATCTATAGCGAAAAACAAAATCAATTAGATTTATTTATTGAAACTTTTTCTAAAATTGAGATTAACATAAATTTATATATGAAAATCCTTTCTTAAACAATCATTTTCTGTCTTTTACGCACTTTTAAACATTTAGAAAATTCTTTCAAAATTATTGGATATAATTATTCAATAAGTTATCATCAAAATGGAAATAAGTATACTCAAATCAGATACCTGTTGGATGCGATAAGAGTTAAACCAAAAATAAAATAGAATCGATTAGATGAATATGACATTTCTACTAAAGATAGTTATCAATGAATAGATAAGTAATTCGAATGAAAAAAATAAAAGAAAATAAAAGAGAAGAACAAAAAAAACGAAAAGGTTGATTACCAATTGTCGTCTAAGTGTTGACATAAATCTGATAAGTTTAAGTACACGTAATAATCTAAATGTACGTAAAACGGATAATCCACTATTTTTATTTTCTTGTAATTCAATAAGACTTATGATAACAATAGCACTATCAAATAAATTATAAGCATTTTTAATATATTGAAGATATCCATCAGCAATTATTTTTAAAATCATTTCAATAGCAAATAATGATGTAAATACTA